TAGTGGACACAAGTGTCGGTCGATGTGTCCAAACTATCGCGTGCTATCGTGCAAGAATGACAGACCCATCAGTATTGCGGCGTTTTTAATAGCTGATGTCCTATATGAGCTACCGGAGCAGACGAAGACGTGAAACTTATTACACCATGTAGGCACATGTGCTGGCTAAACTCACAACATGTTTCGAAACCGTCAGACACAAAGTTCGCCAGTGGAAAGCGGTCAATATTACTTCCCTGATACTCACCTAGAATGCAAGACACTGCGGGCCAAACCAAGGGAAAAAGACTACGATATCCTGTCCAGTGTGATCAATGCCCACCCAAAGATTGGAGAATTTCGCAATATATACCTTATAATGTACCCTAACTGCACTGTCTTTGCAACTGTCAAAAATGTAAACCAGTGCAAATTCATACATTTCGTCTCTTCAAAATGTCAAGACAGCAAGATTCATACTCAGTCAATTTTCAGGCGATGTTTAGTGTAAATCGTGTGTGCGCTGACGCTGATTATCAGCACGCCCCGCCTCGTTAAACTCATGACCCAAGAACATGTCAATGCATTTGTGTGAGTCCCATTCGCATGGCTTCCCAAAACCCACGGGTTCTTTTCCACAATAGTGTGGTGTCGTTATCTACACGGTGATAACAATCCCGCCTACAACCGCCTCGTCCGTCCCACGGCGCTCGATCCGTCTTTTACTGTACCGCACACGCCAGGTGCGGCAGCCCCGGCGACAGCCAAGGGAGGCTGGGCTGGCGGCCAGTCGTCGCCGGCAGTACCCAGGTACTGCCGGCGACAGCCAAGAGGACTGGGCTGGGCGGCCAGTCGTCGCCGGCAGTACCCAGCACTGCCGGCGATGAGAACAATCGTTGGCAGGGCCTGGGCTTCTCTGGTCAGGCTCTCCCGGAGTTGTACCGGCACCCATCCATGCATGCACCCTCGCACGGGGGGGGGGGGGGGGGCGCTGGTACCGTTGTTATGGCATCTACAAAAAGGCAATGAAACGCAACCGAATGAGTGGGAAGAAGGGACTGCACGGAGGGCTTCCGCAGCCAATGGAGGCGTGCCGTCCCGCTCCGCAGGAACTGTCGCCCATCTCCGACCAGACATCGTCCGACCGAGCATTTGGAGCCGCGATCCCGTCGTAGAGGTCTCAGGTGGGATGCCGGCCCATGTCTGTCCCCAAGCCACGCCCCAGAACTCCGAGTTCGGACGCCCAGGCCTCTGTTTAACGCGTATACAGCATACAGCCAGGCGTCCTGGGACACAGCGCTCTGCCTGAACTACGCGCAGAGCCTGCAGGTTCAGTGGCGGGCTTCGTGCCGGGCGCCGCTACCGCTAGCCCCATGAAAGCATGCACGCAGGCGCGCCCGTCCTGGTCGCCCAGCCGCTATGCCGGGCGTGGCTCCACGTCAGCGCGCGCCCCCTGAATCGCCCAGCCTTTGGCGAGTGGTGACCTCTGCACGCCAGCTGTGGACCGCACGTCCGGCGTTCCCAGCGCGGCCTGGCCTGACCGGGCGGCGACGGGAGCGCCTGACGCAGACGGACTGGGAGCTGGTGTCTCTGGGGGAGGGGGGGGGGGAGACCGACCCGCCGGACCGACACTCTACCGGGCACCGCTCCGGAGGGCACGGTGCCGCCGGTCCACCATCAGCTAGCCGCGGACCCTATCAATGACATGCGCTTCGCGTGCGGCGCGGCGGTGGGTGGCGGGTGGGGGGCCTCTCCGCTGGTCGCGGTGGGCGGCGGGCACAGGCACCCCTCTTCGCTGGCCGCGGTGGGGCGGCGGGTGGGCGCCTCTCTGCTGGCCACGATTGGCCTCCGCGCACGGTGGCGGGTGGGGGCGCCTCTCTGCGGTCGCGGTAGGTGGCGGGTGGGGGGCCTCTCCGCTGGTCGCGGTGGGCGGCGGGTGGGGGCGCCTCTCTGCTGGTCGCGGTGGGCGGCGGATGGGGGCGCCTCTCCGCTGGTCGCGGTGGGAGGCGGGTGGGGGCGCCTCTCCGCTGGCCACGATTGGCCTCCGCGCACGGTGGCGGGTGGGGGCGCCTCCTGCTGGTCGCGGTGGCGGCGGATGGGGGCGCCTCTCTGGTCGCGGTGGGCGGGCGGGTGGGGCGCCTCTCCGCTGGTCGCGGTGGGCGGCGGGCACAGGCACCTCTCCGCTGGCCACGATTGGCCTCCGCGCACGGTGCGCGGTCCCGGCACCGAGTCCCGCGTGACTGGCCGCCGTGACGCCGGCGGGCGGGCTGAGACCGGCTCGTGAACCGGCCGCCGACCCGCGGCGAAAGGTCGCCGCCAGGGTCACGGGCCGGCCGCCGACGTCGGCACGCGGCCGGCCGAGCTCACGGTGGCGGCATCAAGCGGCCTCCCCGCGCCACGCGCTGGCTCCTAAGTCCATCCAGACTGCCCGTAATGCACACGCTCAGCTCTCGCTCATCCGGCGTCAAGTCATCAAGCCGGTATCGACTACGACGCTGTCCTGTCGCTGCACAAATGACACCGTCACCAGACATTGCTAAGCGACTGCCGCAGACGTCAACTCCGCACACGGAACGGCGAAATGGCGGCACGTAAACCAGGCGCAAGGGGTTCTTCGTAGTCGTGCAACACCGCACGAAAAATTATGTCGGTGACAGCACGAACAAGATTTCCTCGTAAGCCCACTCCACCACTTCTCACGGAGTGGTAGTTCTTCTCAGCATGTTGGTATGTGGTTATTTCCCCGCAACACCGGGGCAACGAACAGAGCATTAGCGCGTCAGCGCGGCAGCACCACGTGCGAGCCTTGTGAAGTGACGTTACCCAGCAACGCACCAGTCTCAACTCGTTTTTTTTTTTACCTTGTCCCGCGTGTTTATTCGCTACATCTTTTGTTTTGTCTTTAGCAAAGGCCATCCAGCAGATGGAAAGACATTCTTTTCACGGATGCTCAGTTCAGGTCAGCACCGTTCAGAGGTAGCTTTGGGAGTGAACTGCAATTTGAGCGGGTCGCCCGCATCAGCACCACCGGGCTCCACACATGGACGGCCAGACAACAAGGTCAGAGGTCAGGCCAAACCCCCAAATCCATCTTGATGCGTAGAAGCCTCGCCGAAATCAAGCCATGTACCAGAAAAAGTACCAAGCACACATAACCAGCCTCTGCTCAAACCACATAAAACAAACAAGATATTCGCCAAGCCACCCCCCCCCCCCCCCAACCTTGGCAGTCGTCCTCTCCTCTAACGCCCATCGTCCTCTTTCCACAATCGGGGCCAGCGTCGGCCGGCTCCGGCGCCTTCCGCCGTCCGCCCAAACCCGTCAGCGCTGGCGGCGTCCGGGCAAAGCCGCTCGGCACCGGGCACCCTCGTCCGGGCCCGGTCCACAGTCCAGGCAGGGTGGCCGCCGCGGCGCTGCTCTGCCTGGGCGCCGCTCCCCAGCCTCTGCCCTCGGCGCCAGCGCCGGCTCCGGCTCCGGCTCCAGGTCAGGGTGCGGCGCGCGGACCGGGACGCCCGGCTGCGGCCGCCTCTGACGCGCCAGGCCGCCGCGGCCGCCGCCAGAGGGCGCGCTCAGTCGGAGATTGGCCGTCAGCCGGGAGGGGCGCGGCGCCGCTGCGGCAGTGAACACAACGTCAAAGGTGAGGGGTGAGCGGGTGGCCGCGAAGCCGGGCGGCTCTGTTCTTTGTGTGCCGCGGTGGACGATGTCAGAGACGGGTGGAACGTTCTGGTGACTGAGCGAGCACGATTGCTTTCAACGACGTAGTTCGCGGGCCTAGCGTCCGCCCAGAATGCAAAGCTAGGCGCGATGTGGGGGTGTGTGGCAGTCTTTCCAAAAGGCGCGAAAACAGAGCGGGGAGGGCAATAAGCCCACCTCTGAGTTTCCTTGCAAGCCATCGTTCAGTCCGCGCGAGCCGAGAGCGGAGCCGAATCCCACCAAACGTCTCGGTCTGAGCCCAACCAATGGGCGGTGCTGGAGCCGGCCGACAGCCGGGCGCCGCTGCATCGACCCGGGCCCGGCGGCAACTGTTGCGCTTGCACAACTGGTGGGCTTGGCAAACGCGTAGCCAGGCGTAAGCCACGGGAGGAGTGGCACGGCGGGAGGAGGAGCCCCGGCGGGGAGGAGAGCGAATACCTCCGTGTCTGTGAGAGGTGTCAGCCGGGCTCGCCGCCCGGGCGCCTGGTCACTGCGAGCGTCTGTGCCGTGGTCCACGCACTCAGCCGCCCACGCGCGGCGGCTGGCGGTCACGTGGCCGGTCCGGAGACGGCGCGGCAGCTGCAGTGCCCGTCCCGTCCGCGCCGCGCCCGTCCGCGGCGCCTGCGCTTCCGTCACGCGGGTCTCGGTCGGAGGAAAGCCCCCAGACAGCCTGACCGACGGTCCCTGCCGCCGCTGCGCGCCGCTGCCGACCTCACCGCTGACGGCCGCTGTTTACGTTCCAGGCTGACGTACCGTGCCGGCCGCCGGCGCCGAGGGAGAGCGAGAGCGAGCGGCGAGCGCGAGGAGCCCGGCCACCGCCATGGCGCGCTGCTGCTGCTGCTTCGGCCTGCGCACGGGCACCATCCTGATCGGCGTCATCTTCCTGCTTGTTGACCTGGCCGCGCTCGTGTGGTCGGTGCTCAACGCGGTCAAGCACGACTTCCGGCTATGGCCGCGCGACGTGCTTGATCACTTCACACCAAAAACGCTCGAGATCGCGACGTGGGTGACGCTGGCAGTGTCCGCCTTCAGCGTGCTCTGCGACCTGTTGCTCATCTTCGCGGCGGCGCGCCGCACGCGCTGCGGCCAGATCTGCTGGCTGCTGTGGAACGGCCTGCTCCTGACGTTGTTGACGCTGGCGCTGCTGGTTGGGCTCGGCATCTCCATCTGGCTGCTGGTCGACAAGTCAGCCGCCGAAAAGCTGGGCATAGACGATGACATCTTCACCAAGCTGACCCGCCAGATAACCATGACCGAGGAAGAGCGCGAGAAGCAGCGGCGCTACCTGTACATCAGTCTCATAGTGGGCCACGTGGTCGGACTCATCATCATGTCCATCGTGTGGGGCTGGTACGGAGCTGTCGACCGCAACCAGCGTCGGCTGCGGCACACCACCGTCATCGTGAAGACCCAGCACGTGCACACCAGCCGACTGTAGGCCGCGCGAAGCGGCCGCGCGATTCGACGGCGAGCGCGCCGCCTCGCGAGGCGAGGCGAGGCGAGGCGCCACAGGCGAGCGGCCGCGCCGCTGCAGGCCGACGCTGGGACCGAGCGGCGGGCGGCGGAGCCCGTTGTCCGCCGCGCCGCGCCGCGCCATCGGTCAGTGCGCGGATCAAAGTGTGGACGGCCGGAATGGACGCGGCGAAGTGGTGCGCGGCGCGTGGTTTGGTGCCAAATGGACTCGTCTGTGTGCGTTAGTGCTGCGGAATGTAACAGATCACTCTGGATGGCTTGTAGCTCGACGCTGTAATTGTTTGGCAAGGAGCTTTACCACAGTAAATAAGAAGCGAACCTTGAAAATTGGTATCAAGCAAGGCGACCGAGAACAAGCACGTAACGTAATATTCCGGGCGGTGGCATCTTCCCAGGCAGAACACAAACCAAGCTTACTCAGAGCGACGCAGCTGCGATCAGACGGCCTTGTTCAGCATAAATCCTCTCTAGACTTCACTGCAAAGCAATCCGATTACCGGCAATGCGAATCATAGACCATGCCGTATAAGCCGTAAGAGCTTTTTGTGCCCGCCGACATGTCCGCAGCAAAGCGCGCTCCGCTTTTGAGGCGTGCGCGGCACGTTTGTGCGAGCCCAACACGTGCCGCCCACCGCCGCCGCACGTGTCACGTCCGTGCGAGCCCAACACGTGCCGCCTGCCGCCGCCGCACGTGTCACAGCCAGCAGCTGGACGTGGCGTGTCCACTGACGCGTCGCGGCCGTCTGGGGTCTGGGCTGCAGGCGGTCCGGCGGGCTGCGACGCACGTGGCAGCGGGTTGGCACCGGCCGCCACTGACCTCGCATCACGAATTGATTGTCACCGATGCTTCCGCCGCACTGCCCCGATCCATGCCGAGCTGAACGTGGCGACGTAATCGTCATAAGAAGCACCTCCAAAAGCCCATCGCCGCCACGCCTGAGGGGGCTGACGCACAACTAAAAACGCTGAACTGAATCACGACCCGCCCCCGCTCGATTCGACAGCATAATCGCGCCTGAAAACACATTCGGAATACACCAAACGTCCGCCCCTCCCGACATCGGTATGACGCCAGCGGCGGGTCGACGCCCAGCCGGTGGCCGGCAGCGACAGCCGGCAAACACGCCGGGGCCCGTGCTCAGCGTGAGCCGCGTCTCAGGCGCGCGACCGTCTCGCCGGCGCCACCGGATGCGCACAGACTGCGGGGTGGCGCACCGCCGTCCCGGACTGGGGCGTACACGGCGCGCGTCATATCACGGCGTCGCCGCCGAGTGACGACGCCCTGGCGCCGTCACTGTGAGCTCCGCGTCCGTAGCGGGCCGCTGCCAAGCGCGGCCCCGTCACTGTTGATTGGGCTTTATGGAGGGCGCTCAGCACCATCGGCCATTCCGCGGGCATGCCCCATCAAACACCAAGCGCGCAGTAGGCGACCAGGGATACCCCGAAGCACTGCGTAGTTGCCAAGCGGTGACGCCCCTGCAGCAGCAGCCCACGCTCCGCACAGCTGTGCCCGGACCTGGCCGCCACCGGCTGCCGGGAGCCGGGAGGCCTTGAGGGCTCAGCCCGGCGCGACCCGGCGCGACCGGACGGGGCCGCGACCGAGGCGACCGGACGGGCCGCGAACCGACCGGACGGAGCGCATGTCGGCCGCGCGCCCGAGTCAACATCCGCCTGGTGGGCCGCGCGGCGCGGGGCGGCCCGAACGGGCGGATACTGCACCTGAGCTGGGCTGGGCTGGGCGGCGGTGATTGGACGGGCGGGCTGGGCGGCACCGCCGGCGGCGCCGGTGGCAGGTCGCTGACCTTGGAGCCGCGCGCGGCCGGTAAACACGCCGCTGCGCTCGGCGCGCCCGCCGCCCAGCCCGCCCAGCCAGGCTGACGTTCGCAGGGGCGGGCCAGCGCCCACGGCCGCCGCCACCTCAAGGTAAACGGCACGAGATCAAGGGCGCCGTCGACTGATGAGGGGCTTCGGGGCCGCTCGTGGTGGTCGTGCACCAGCACCAGCCGCTTCCTTCGGCATTACGCTCCGGAAAGAACGCAGCGCAGGGCGTAACGGGGGCGTAGCGTTGCGGGAGAGCCACCATCGTGGCCTGGCGAAAAGACGATGGACTCGCGGTCACGGCGACAGCGGCATGGGTTCCAGCACGGGCGCGTGGTTTGGCCCGATCGACGCAGAAAGGCCAGCCGGCCAGTGATAATCAGCCTGGTCGCAGCGGGTTGACCTGGCCGTATCGTGCTTGTGGCGATGTCGTGAAGTCCCGCGGTCTCGTCTGGTAAGGAATTGGGGTAAAATAAGCCGCTGAAGTGCATCCTGTCCGTCTGGAGTGGCCGCATCAGGATACACGCCAACAAACTCTGCCTGGCTCTGAACATTGAGCTCTGAACCCAGGCAAGCATGCAAAACATTTCAGTCAAATAAAAAATAAAAACAGGAGTGTTTAAGAGCACTTTTGTTTGAAGACGATCCCCGCTTGACACCTGCACTTGGCGGCTGAACAATCACCACAAGCTCCAGCGAAGACTTCGATTCAGAGTGCCGTGGCTCTGAAGCCGAGTGCCGGCAGCGCCACGCGCAGTCACATTGTGTGCCGTCTGACAGAACAAATGCCGCTGGCGCCCGCCGAGCACGCAAACAATAGCTAGAAACCCATGCATGTGTCGACGGAAGCCACTGATATGAATCACCCGTAGCTGTGGCTGGCGACCCCAGACTGACATTTCCATCAGTCATTCGAACGCAGCCGGTGACTCAGCTATCGGCGAAGTTACATCGACGCCGGCAAATGGCAAGGCACCTGTCGCAAGCCAAGCAGCCGCACCCGCCCAAACTTCCAAATGGCAAGCCGCATGTCGCAGCCAAGCAGCCGCACCCGCCCCAAACTTCCAAATGGCAAGCCGCATGTCGCAAGCCAAGCAGCCGACCCGCCCAAACCTTCCAAATGGCAAGCCGCATGTCGCAAGCCAAACAGCCGCCACCCGCCCAAACTTCCAAATGGCAAGCCGCATGTCGCAAGCCTAAGCAGCCGCACCCGCCCAAACTTCCAAGTGGCAAGCCGCCTGTCGCAAGCCAAGCAGCCGCACCCGCCCAAACTTCCAAATGGCAAGCCACATGTCGCAAGCCAAGCAGCCGGCAACCGCCCAAACTTCCGAATGGCAAGCCGCCTGTCGCAGGCCAAGCAGCCGCAACCGCCCAAACTTCCAAATGCATCAAGCACAGCGTATCTGAGTTCGAAGGAAATAGTTGACTAAACAATCCCGACCTTTAGACGGAGTGGAAAGATTCGCGTCGCGCACGAGGGCAGGACCGTAAAAGGCAACGCCGCCCTGAGGAGCACACCATATGAGGCACGCGCGACAGTTGCCCCTCCCTTAAAGAATGCGGGTCTGTGGGGACCGAAGAAAATATCCAATAAGGGGGCCTGAAGGGCCCTACACAACGCACTACGACTATGGCATGCAAGGGCGGCGCCAGTCCCTTTGAGGTTTTGGGGCAAGTTTTCCCCGGAGCATCCTGGACAAATGGCCTCCCCAAGGTGGCCTCTTCCGTGTCGCGTCCAACGGAGGGGAGGGGGCGCAGGGGTTCGTGCCCATTATGTAATATTTATGATATGCATCAATGTCCAGGTGAATCAATACCGACACTGCAAAAAAATCCCGAAGAAGGACTCTCCGAATAATTCAGGGGATTTCCGATCCGGCAGTCTGCCCATCTAAGGACATGACCTCTTGTTCCATACAGGGCCCTTTGACACACATGGAAAACCCGTAATCCACAGCAGGATCCCTCCGATTCACAAAGGGACGCCCAAATCCGGCAAAGGGCCTCAATATCACAAAACAGGGCATCCTATCCGAAGCAGTGACCTGAGGTATGAGAGAGGCCCTGGTCCAGCGTAGAGACCTCCGAATATATAGAGGGGCCTCCTTTTCCAGGACAGGAGACTCCTCATTTATAGCGGGGGCCTCCCGAGCCAACAACGGGCATTCGTAGGCAAATAAAAACAATCCTAAATTCTTATCCAGACAACAAGCCTCCTGATGTAGAGAAGGGCCCTTGGAGCCCGACTTAGTATTCTGTATTGAATTTGATGGAGCACTCCGTACAAATCTCTTACACATGGGGCTTCCGTCAACTGAATTTTGTTAAGATATGTGTACTTTCAAACTTTTTAACTTGAGCGAAAGGGTCTCTCGAAATTGTGAGGGAGCAAACCTGCTGTTGCTCTCCCCTCTGCGCCGTCCCCTCCCCTACTCTCTCCCCTACCGTCTCTCCCCTCTGCGCCGTCCCTGATAGCATGCCAAAACGGAACGTGAAACAGCTCCAAGAGCGCCTGACGCATGAGCACCTTACGCTGCTGCTTCCTGCAAGCAACCCATAACAGCTTCTGTCTGGAACCTCCTCGAGATCGTCCCCCCCCCCCCACCCCCTCTCTTACAAAAGTAGGCGCCTGGCCCTTACGTTTCAAAGTTTGCGCCTGGCACCGGTCGTACCGTATACATGGAACGGAACGTCGATTTTAATGCAGGGTAAGGGGACAGCCATAAAACCACAGCTTGCTCTTGCTAAATTTTCATGACCTTTGTTTTCAAAGTCACTTTTATGCTCAACAACCCTCCTCCTTCCCGCCATCAGCCCTGTCTGTCCCGGTAGCTTAGTTGATTAGGGCAACTGCTTTCCAAATCAGCCAAGCCGTGGCGGGGTGGGTTCGAGTCGCTCTGGACGCTCACTATTTGCTCCTGATTGGAATAGCCTTCGGCCGGTGGTGGCAGCGGCCGCACCCAAAACCAGACGACATCGGAGGGCGGGACGGCCCGTGCTGGGCATTGCGGCGCGTAAGCTTTCACCGCAAAATGTTGCCGTTGGCCCGGAGCTCCGTGATCGGACGGCGGGCGGGGTCGGGGCCCACGCCACGACAAGCACTGCCCAGCTTGAGCTCTGATGCCAGAAATCCAACCTACTAAACGCTCAGACGAAATCTCTAAACATCGACGGGTTAGCTTATGGTCATGGTAGGGTAGGGTATAGCCGGCATAACGTTTCCCGCCAAGTCGGGCGTC